TGGTTTGGGGATAAATCTCAGTCACAGAGTGCTTGTCTAGCATGCCTTAGGTCCTAGTCCTGGGTTTAATTCCCAGTACCACTTGGGGGGGGGGTATGTCTTTTTCCTTTTTTTTTTTTTGATAGAAATAAGAGAGGATATTACTTAGTAATAATTGGACATACCCACTCCACCAAGAGCCAAATGAATTTCTTCCATAACACTGTCTCTCACATTACCAAAACAGTATCAATTATTTGGATCAATTTCAAGTTTGAAATATTTTAACTGATTTGTGTATGCAGAATTATTGGAGCTGAGTTATTTAACTATTTGAAACATGATGATTGTGTTTCCTTTGGCAAATCTGAGTGGCTGCTCTGACAGTGATATGGTGAGAATAAGTGAGACACTTGAAATCTTCCCTTTAAAAACACATAATCTGTATCATATTACGTAGTTAAGTAGGTCACATCTCACGTCTTCTTAACAAGGAAGAACTGGGTGCAAACCTTATGAGGAAAGAACTAGAAACAATATGCACTGCCTGTTTTAGCACTGATACCCTACATATGTTAAGAATGTAACAGTAAGCAAAAAATAAAAACCATTATCATTTTACCAAAGAAACAAAACATAGAAGGGAGGAATTGAGCTTGGTGTGGGTCAGAGATCCCACTATGATTCTGAACCAAATTTTAAACACTAGGCATCTACATACAACTTCCATGACTATTTATACTAGAAAGATTCAAAACAGAAAAGGTGATGCATGGCCTACCTTGTTAAAGACAAATATCCACATAACTAAAAGTCCCATAAAGTGCTTCAGCAGACTACATCATTCCCCCGTTACTGAAGGTACCTAAAAGTGAGTCACTTAATGTGACTTACTGTCTGCATTCAGAGGCAAATGAGACAATGGAAATCTTTTCAAATCTAATACTTTATAATTACAAAAAAGCAATCCTAAATATACTACCTTTTAGAATTCTAGAATATCTGTAAATACTGAGAACACAAGGAGCCCACACAAACTAGCTGTGTTAAGTAGTCATTTCCTACTTTAATATTCACTTGCTGTGCTCTTAAAATCTCTATGAGAGAAGCAGGAATTTTCCCTGTATCTTTTGGCAATAGATTCAAAAAGCAAATGTTTCAGGCCTGTAAAATTTCATGAAGTCTGAAGTCTTTAAAGCTAAATTATTGAATATCTTGAATTATTATTGCACTGAGATGTTGCCCAGAATATGTCTACAACAAAAGTAAGGTAAGCAGATCTACAAGCATTTGCTTTCCTTATTAGATAAGCAAACTTACAAAAGAAATGCAAAATGCAATTTAAATAAGTCTATATATGTGTGACAATCTATCAACCTCTTATAGAGTGAAATCCAATGCCCAACACTAAAAATCTGTGAAAAACCACAAGGGCATTACTGTCACAAAGTCCTGACTACTGATGCATTTCACTTTGAGATCATTGAGCTAAAACAGCATTTCCTAAAGATTTAAGAAAAATAGATTAGGAAACAGACTCTTTTAAATCACTGAATACATCATTTCTGTCATTAAGAGAAATAACTTAAGCGTTTTTTCTGCAATAATTCATTCTAATGAAATAATTCTCTAACTCCTAATAAACACTACATTTATAAGAGTAAGGGAATTATCAGTAGGCATTCTTCCTTGTTTTAAGTTATTTGTCTCTAAAATATGTCAAGTAAGCTTTTAAAGACTCAGGGAGTGGCAGCTTCATGATCTTTTCCCTCAGTAAGTTCTGAGGTGGCTCCTCATGCTTCATGGTTTCACTATGATCTTTCTCTTCTTCTTCTTCTTCTTTGCTGTCTTCTTCCATTTTTTCATCCTCTTCACTGTCTAGAGGCTGAGGAATAAGCTGATTACCTACAAATACATAAGTGTTAATTCTTTGTTTAACTCTCTTTCTTTTCCTCTTGGGTGGAGCCCTTTGCGGAATTCCCTTGGCCTGCATCTCATCATTTATGAAGTTTCTAAGTGTACGTCGAATATAAATACGAGCCAAGTCTTGGAGATTCCTGACAGCACATGGGGGGAGTCCCACAGAATCTGGTGTGCCATTATCATTCTTACTAGGTTGTACAAGTGGTGCAAAGGAAACAGCAAGGATATTTTTACTTTCCCAAGTGTTTTGTCCAGTCCGCATAATCTGTGTCAACTGATCCTCTATAGGCATGACCAGAATTCCCCCAACTTTGAGCAAGATCTTCATGTAGTTTTCATGATCTTTCTGGACTCCAGCTCCACAGTAAATTCGATCATACTGATGACTGTCAGAAGCTATCTGAAGGCAATTACCCACCACAAATGCAGGTTCACAGAATTCAAATTTATCAAAGCTATCGCTATTTTTGATGAAGCTCTCCAGTTTTTCCTTGGCATATTCCACCACATCTGAATGAAGTTCAATTCCATGATTTATTCCAAAAGGTCCGAACACGCAGAAGACGCTCAGCAGCGGCGCCCGCTCCGTCTGCGGAGCTCGGTCCCAGCGTCACGACCTGCGTAGGCGGGAGCCCTCCAGGCCAAAGCAGCGGTAGGCCGGCGGCGGGCGGAGCGCAGCAGAAGGAGCCGGTAGGCCGGGCACAGCGTCCGCCAGCGCCCGCGCGGAAGGGCGGGGCCCGACCGCATTTTAGATGTTTTAATAACATAGTTTTTTATGACAATGAAACATGTCTGCTCGTAGCAGCACCAATTTACTTCAAAGAAGATGATGGACATCAAAAAAACTCCATATTGAATTTGCTTTCTTTATGGCATAAGTTAGCCATTTGGGCAAGAAACTGTTCTTGCCTGGACTTCTTGACAAAACGTTGTATTGATTGGACCTGCAGGTCATTGAAAAATAAAATTTTCACTAAATTTTTCCCAAACAAGGCACAATGGTCCTTCAGTTTCCTGCTTCACAGAGGAGATTGCCAGACATTCTGCAGGATATAGGGAGAGGTGACTGAGAGATTCTAGGCCCTATAGGCAGAAGATGAATGCCCCAATGTGGCAGAGGAACTTTGCTTGACTATTCAGGCAGCCAGATGTCTCTGTCATTTCCAGAATTTTGGAAGTTGCTTACAAAGCACTTCCTGTTTACTTAGGTAACATCATATCCATCTAGGGTCTTTGATGTAGTTGAAGACTAGATAGTCATAATTATAATTTTCCTTGATTATGATAAAAGATAAATTAGATATGCAACTTTAGACTCACAAATATAGATGATAATTTTTTTTAATTTTGCAAAGTACAAATAGACTAGATATTGTTATTGCAATTCTTGCTTGATAACTGTCATATATAATTTTACTATATTAAAGCCAAAACCTTCCTTTTTGATTAGATAGAAAAGGGGAAGTGCTGAAGGATGTCTTTTTGTACCTGTGAATATGTATTGCTTCCATTGGCTAATAAATAAAGCTGTTTTGGCTTATGGCAAGGCAGCTTAGGGGTAGGTGGGAAGTCCAAGCAGAGATACAGAGAAAAGAAGGGCAGAGTTGGGGGAGACACCAACTGCTGCCCAAGAAGCAGCAAGATGCCAACACACTGGTAATGCCATGGCCACGTGGCAGCTTATGGATTAATAGAAATGGGTTAAGTTATAAGAGCTAGCTAGCAAGAAGCTTGAGCCATAGGCCATACAGTTTGTAATTAATATAAGCCTCTGTATGTTTATTTGGGTCTGAGCAGCTGCAGGACTGATCAGGACAAAGGAAAACTTTTGACTACAGAAAATGCCTTATGGCAGGATCTCATCAAGGCATTTCCTCAACTGAGGCTCCTTCCTTGCTGATGTCTCTCACTTGTGTCAAACTGACAGAAAGAACCAGCCAGTACGTATCCACAGATACTACTTCTCTTAATCAGAAAAGCCTGTTTTCAGTGAATGATGGTAAATTCAGAGACTCATGACTGCTCAAGTTTCTGAGATTATGTGATGGGTGAGTCTTCAGTCATACACAGTTATACAACTCCATCTAGGCTTTAGGGAATATCACAGAAGAGAGAAAATAAAGAATATAAAAAACTAGAGCCGGGCGTTGGTGGCGCACGCCTTTAATCCCAGCACTCGGGAGGCAGAGCCAGGCGGATCTCTGTGAGTTCGAGGCCAGCCTGGGCTACCAAGTGAGC